TCTACACGCTCTCTATTTTAGTATATAAGCAGGTAAATAAAGCGAGATAATTAATTGAATTGCAGATAGATAGATATAGAGACAGATAATTGACTCAAGCGAGCAGTAGTGACCGTAAGTAAAGTGCGTGAATCATTGTGAATTATAGTGTGTTGAAGTTAAAGTGACTATGGAAATTAAGTGTATTGCAAAGTTGTATTGAGAAAGAATAAACTAGTTTTATTTAAGAAAGGACTTGTATCGCTGAAGTTTTTTGGAAAGAATTTATACGACCAGAGACGTAACAATAGTTTATTGTTAATTGTTTTATAAATATTTAAGTATGAGCGCCAGAAATGTCTGTGACAATTGTTTCATTAATTATATAAAAATTGACATTAAAGCTTAAAACAAGAATTTACAAAACTTAAAAATAATCCATTTTCACCTTCGCCTTTCATTGGCTCAGCAGTAAATCTGAAGGCTTATAACGCTGAAAATCTGGGTTCGATACCAATGGTGGGCACAGCACAGATAGCCCATTGTATAGCTTTATCATTAACAAACAACGTTTTTTTTCCTTGTATTCTCTGTCCTTGATAAATCGCTATTTATGATTAATTAACTTCGTTTATTATTAACACCATTCTTCTGGCTTATGCATAATTTAAGGTTCAGGTTATAGAGAGAGGAATTTTGGCATGTAGTAATCGTGAGGTTAGAACTAAAAGGTCACGTTTTACTTTACAGATGATTTTGTTACTATGTATAGTGATATCATTAAGAACATTAGAATTAGTACTTATAATAATATCACTTGTTCTAATCTTAACGTTTGGTCAGTAAATCTACGGTTCTTAACTAAGGGCTGAAGTTCAGAATGGCTATCTGTGCAGTGCTCACCATGGGTATCGAAACCCGATTTTTTGGGTGATAAGCCCTCATCCTTACTGTTGAGCTACTGGGGAGCGTAATATAGTGTAAACTGATCAAACACTACATGTGAGTCGAGTTATAATCAAAGGACCGGCTATGTAAATATATAATAACTACAAAAAAAAAGAAGAAAAAAATAAAGTTAGAATATAAGGACTGGTGTGGTATTTACAATAAAATATCCAATATATTTTTACATAACTTGGCATATTTTATAGATTACGTTTATCTTAAAGCAAAGCCACATTGGGCTATCTGCAGTGTTCACCGCGGAGAATCGAACCCCAGATTTTAGCTTTGTAAGTCCGTAGACTTACCGCTGCGGACAAGTTTACAGCACTTGGTATCTTATTTAACCTGACTCATTTATTGTACATACTACACCAGTCCCTTTATTCTGTTTTGCTGTTTTTAGTTTGTATGTGAAAGTTTGTCACTACTTTTTTGTTTTAAATTACATTTTTCGAAAACACAAAGCTATGTTTTAATTATCATCTCTTATTATTATTTTAGTTCATAAACTTATTTTTAGAAAATTTTGATTTATTTTACCAACTGATATGAAGGATAAAAAGCATTTGATTTATCTGTTTTAGAATTATTTAAATTGAGATAATTTTTAATGTGCATATTTTAATTTTATGAATGAATTATGAAAAAAAAATGCATGTATTGTTGGACAGATAGTGCTGTCATCTTTTCGGCAATATTATAACTAAGCATAACAAATTTATAGGGTGTTGAAGTGAAGACAGATTTTAGCAGTATGTTAATTATTTCAATTCACTCTAGAGTGTAGAAACCATTTCCTTGGTCACAAGCATCTGTACAAGGTGATGTGCACATATAGTATGTACTCTCTTGTTTACTATGTGTTTTGCCCTTTTAACAACAAGAAGAACAATAATTTTACCACTTTTTGACTGATTATTTCTATTCGAATACAACACATATTAAATTGCTTTTCTGTGCGTGATGTTACAGTGTTTAGATCTGTTCAGAAACATAATAGTGCCACTACAATATTTAAAACAACTGTGACACTACCTCAGATTTAGCCGAAAGTTCGGTCCTATAGGTATGGTTACCGTAATGCCTTTTTCCTAACTTGGTTGAAACCACTAATGTGAACCCAGACTTGTTTTCATAATTTTACGTTGTGAAAAAGTCTGTCTTGCTCTTCAGTTTGATTTAGCACTCACAATTCTTCGCTCAGACATGTTGGAATTTAAACAACTTTTACAAGTAATTTACATAACATAAATAAAATATGAACTATCAAAATAACTATTCGGCTATGCTTAGGGCAATAAGCATAACCTTTAATTCAGATACACAAATTTTGATGCGCACCGTATTTTTATTGCATTTCTGAAGCACATATCGTTTGTATATAATAACGTCAAAACAGAGATCCTGGGTACACATTATTGTTTGATAAACTAGACTTAGAATATACATGAATACATAATAGCTAATGTTTTCCTCAACTTATATACACAGATTACTTAAAGTCATTGTTAATGAAGATTCCGTGATTCAAATAGTCAACACTAAAACTCTTAAGGCCTTCGATAATTTGGTAACTTTGGAATTAGGCATTAGACATTTGATCATAGCAGGTGGCAGTGCCACTGGTAAAGGTGGGAAATTGTCCTGACGTAAACGAATTGTTTAAGTTACAACTAGGAAAAGGATCCGCATAACCATCAGAGAATCTGTTCATTGTATTTTGAAGTGTACCTGTGGCGCCTCTTAGACTGGATGAAGTTTTATGACAACAGTCTGTGAACTGAAGTACAACACTATTTACATCTTGATCACAATCACTTAGAGGACGATATACTTGGAATATTGTAGGGTCATAAGAACTTGGATTGCCAAAAACTGTTTTGAAAAGTTCTCCAAGAGGCCCTAATCCTAACTCTGGATTGCACTTTCCAGAGCACGGCCAGTCACATAAGTTATTATCAAAAACTATCTGAGATTTCCTCTTCGACGTTTTTAACGATTTTGTTTCGTCGTTCACCTGAGCCATGGCTAAGAGGTCAGCATGATAGAGTGCTAGGCCTGAAACGTTCACTTGGTATTTGTTTTCGTACACTTCACAGTAGTCTTCATTACCTTCGTTTCGTTTCAAGTAAAAAGTTAACTTTTCCGAAACAGTTTGCATGTAAGTTATTAAATCATCCTTTTGATCACCTCTGGGACAAGTTTGCATGGTATTCTTGTTTTCTACATTATCTAACTGTTGGTTATATTCGTCCCAACTTTCATCTGATGATAAAATGAACTCTTCTTCACCTTCTGTCAAAGAAAATAACATTTCTGAAGTTATCAGTGTTGAAAAGTTCTCAGAGTCATGGGGTTTCTGGTATTTTTAACTTCATGAGCTGTACAAAAGTTGTGTAGTAACTGAATTAGTGCTGATAGTGTAGTATCATGCAATAAGTATAGTTTCAGTTCCGGAACCACTGCGATATTGTAGGTACTTCTTGTCGTAAAGGAACTGTGTAATATATAATACAGGAAAAGATAAATATAACTTACAACTTATATCATTATACTAAACTACATTCAAGTTTTTCTTCTGCTCTTGTAAGTGAAATTAGTAACAAAAGCATAATAGAGGCACGAGTTAATAGATCTTCTTCATTTTTCCTCTGATTATGAGCAGTTTCGAGAAATACAGGTCACTATCTTATTGAAACATTTGTTTTACAATAAGGTAGTGACCCGTATTTCTCAACTGTTAATAAGGTAAAACAAATGTTTCAATAAGATGGTGATCTGTATTTCTCAACTGTTAATAAGGTAAAACAAATGTTTCAATAAGATAGTGACCTGTATTTCTCAACTGTTAATAATGAAAACATTTGTTTTACGTTATTGAAACATTTGTTTTACCTTATTAACAGTTGAGAAATACAGGTAACTATCTTATTGAAACAATTGTTTTACCTTATTAACTGTCGAGAAATACAGGTACCTATCTTATTGAAACATTTGTTTTACCTTATTAACAGTCGAGAAATACAGGTAACTATCTTATTGAAACATTTGTTTTACCTTATTAACAGTTGAGAAATACAGGTCACTATCTTATTGAAACATTTGTTTTACCTTATTAACAGTTGAGAAATACAGGTCACTATCTTATTGAAACATTTGTTTTACCTTATTAACAGCTGAGAAACACAGTTCACTATTTTATTGAAACTTTTGGCTTTACTTTAGTATGAGCAAAATCACTACAAGCTATACTAATCCAAAAGTTAAAGGTTCCTTCAAGAAATGTTTACTAATAGTGTAAGATCTAGACCCTACATACCCTCTAAGCTCAGTTCACTCGAAATAAACAAAGCAAGAAAACAGCTTACGTGCTTCCAGGAAAAATAAACAATAGCATACTCTTATAGTTTGTTTCTCCAGAAATGTTTGTCTTCACCACTCGCTCGCAGAATAACTAAGTTCCATCTTCTCGTGAGAAAATATGTCCAATCTGTTTGCCGAGTGTTTAAATTAACTCCAGAAAATGAAATTCTAACATTATTGATGTTTAAAATAACTAAATTTTTTAATACTTCGTGAAAACTGTGGCTATAACTACAGCAAAGGGCTCCTACATCATAAACGTTACTTCACTTTAGCATGGTTTCCTCACCATTAGTTTTTTTTTTTTAATAAACACATTCCTAAAACGAATTTACCGCAAACAAAGTAGTATTTTACGAAAGTACCAGCTTTGATAAAGAGCCTGGACTCTAGGATGACATCATATTTTATGTTTGTTTTACGATAACCGTCAAGAACGTGGCGTATCAAGTCCTAACCGAATAATCTAGTCTTTATATCAAATAAATTTGAGCATATTGAGTTTGTTTGCGAAGCAAATGTAAACATCCAGTATCTTTGATATCTTATACAATAATATCGGCTTGTTTGTAACAGGCGCAACCCAGTCAGATTTAATGATGAGAAATATGAAGTGATATTAACAATTATAAATCGAGTACTCGGTGTTTCAGTGAAGTGTGGTTATATTTTGTCATGTATAAATTAAATTATTTCGGAGTTCATTTGGTATTTGGAGTTTCCAGTCTGAACGGTTCCTTATGCAACATATGGACTAAACGGCCCGAGATCTCGACACTCGTGATTGTTTTGTTTGTTTGTTTTGAATTTCGCGCAAAGCTACACGAGGGCTATCTGCGCTCGACACTCATGAAAAACCGTCCCTAATCTAGAACTGCTGACCAGAGAGAAGTCGACTAGTCAGCAGCACCAGCCGTCTATACGACCACTCTTAGCCGAATAGCGTGATTACAATTGTCATACAGTTGACTCGAAGCTGGGACTTGAGAATTTTCACATTTTAAAATTAGCAACTATTTGTCAGCGTCTACAAGACAATAATCTTTATGATAAGAACTTAAACGTTTGCCACAATCAAGAGGTAATTTCAAGTTTTAAGAAATAAAATTTAGATAATCTTAAACTAATAGCAATAATTTGTATATTTTGTCGACAAAAACGTTAATACATTACCTTTATGTTATAGTATCAAATGCGCCAACTTGTCAAGATCTTTGGGGGAGGGAAAAAAAACACTTTAACTTTCTTCATCCATATCATAAATTATCATATTAATAAAACTTGTGTAAATAAAAACAGTTCAATACACTTATAACTCACACCATACCTTATTGTACTTATCTTAAGTACACAATTAAATGAAAGAGGTCAATACAGTTATAATCCGCATTACCATTCATGTTATGCTGACAAATATCCATGAACCATTTAGAATAACCCAACTACATATGGAACAGCACCTGAAAATAAAACACAAGGTGCTTATATTATACCGTACCGATCCTGTGAGAAAGGTTATGTAGTTGAAAATGGAAGAAGGTTGGACACAAAAGTTTCTGAACATGAAAAAGACATTAAATATGGTACACATAAAATGGAAGAAGGTTGGACACAAAAGTTTCTGAACATGAAAAAGACATTAAATATGGAACACATAAAATGGAAGAAGGTTGGACACAAAAGTTTCTGAACATGAAAAAGACATTAAATATGAAACACATAAAATGCAATTTTTCTTCATATGAGATATTTTGGCCATCAAATCGATTGGAAACCAATAAGAATTTTGTATAAAATGGATAACTATATAAAAAGAAGAATCATCGAAAGTTATTGAATCAAAACCTGTGAAGGTCACTTTAAGCTAAACAACTTCCTGAACCCTATGTGTCCTTCGAAGTTCCGGGGACACGTTGGCATTGTTTACCAGTTTTCCTGCCAGAAGACAAGGTGGCACTGAAAAGGACACGCGAATGTGTCAAAACTAATTTCTGCCATCTCAAGACTTCTGAAAATTTGATCCATTTATTGTGGTATTTTACTAACTGCTCCTTTCGAAACATATGGCCACGCTCTTACGTCAACTTGCGTAAGTTTTTGGTATCACGACGATACATCAGCTATTAGGTCTGTACTACTACTACTACATGAAAATACTGTAGGATTTACTTACTTACTTGTTTTTCTTTGAAGAGGGGGGGGGGGCTAGGCAGTCCACTTTTCCTGGGGTTAATCTGGCTAACACCGGATAAATGTACAGACAAAAGTGACTGATAAACTCTTCAGTACATCCATTCCAAGAATGGTGATGCCATGCCAGAACAGCGCTTAGCGACAACTACCTTCATTCTGTAAGGGAAATTTCCCAAAACATATTCAGGGCGTGACTTCCCCATTCACATCTAATTTATTTCATTTCAACAGAACAAAGTTTGTGTCTACTGGCCTGAATGGTGTTTTCACTCAAAGCACCTGACATAACATGATATCTACAGGGCGTGACTTCCCCATTCACATCTAATTTATTTCATTTCAACAGAATAAAGTTTGTGTCTACTGGCCTGAATGGTGTTTTCACTCAAAGCACCTGACATAACATGATATCTACAGGGCGTGACTTCCCCATTCACATCTAATTTATTTCATTTCAACAGAACAAAGTTTGTGTCTACTGGCCTGAGTGGTGTTTTCACTCAAAGCACCTGACATAACATGATATCTACAGGGCGTGACTTCCCCATTCACATCTAATTTATTTCATTTCAACAGAAC